GCAGCTGCTCAAAGGGGAAAAAAAAACTTAAAGGCAAAATTCCCATAAAAAACCTTGACTGTGGAGATTTGTTGCTGTGGCAGAGAGCAGCTCCTGGAAAAAAAAGGAAACCTCAGCGTGGGAAACCTCAACCTTTAATCCATAATAAATGAGGGAAAGGGAAAAAATGGGCTGGGAATAAATAATCCAAACATCCCGACATGTTTGAACAAATATCCCAATTCATTTATCAAACATTGCAACACTTTTATCAAATATCCCAACACATTTATCAAACACCCCGACAATTTTATCAAACACCCTGACACTTTTATCACCCCCTGCTGATAAGAGGATTTTTTTTTCCCAGCCTGTTGGCCTTGAAATGGAAGTTGGAGGGGGAAGAGTTTGGAAATTCAGGTGCAATAGCTCCGTTTTTCCATGGAACTTTTTGTATGGAATCCAAATTATTTCTGTTGGAAGGGACTTTAAAAATCACCAAGATTCTGGATTTTAGGATCATCTCCTCTGCTGTGGGGATTGACCCCATTCCCACCCTGCCAGGGGCAGCAAAATGATGGGAAAAGCTGGAGAAGAATCCCAGTTGTGCCCCACAGGGAAAACTCAACCCCTTTCCCTTCCTTCCCAAACCCTTTCCCTGCTTTCCCTCCCAGTTATTTTCCCCCAGGGAGCAGCAGTGTCAATCCCTGTGATTCAATTCCTGAGGATAATTGATCTGCAGGGAAAATGGAATGAAAAGCCAAGTTCCCAGAAATGAGATTATTTTCCAGGCTCCATTTAACTCCCCGTGACATCGGACCTTCCCGAGGAACAGGCAGGGCCCGTTTGGCTGCAGGGAAATGTTTCGTTCCCGGGAAAACAGAGCCAATTTGTCAGATTGTTGTAATTATTTCTGACTGGATCAGCAGGAGAGAGAAAGGCTTGGAGCTGAGATAATAAAAAACTCCAGAAAAGCAGTGAGAAATGAGGTTGGAAAAGCTGCAGAGCCGCAGGGATGAGTGGCTTTGGGATGGGATTGTGGAGCCAGGGCTCTCCTTGTTCTCTTCATCCCAAGTTTTGAAGCCACAAAATTTCCTTTCTTTTACCTTTCCTTTCCTTT